ATGTTTATGTCACGATCAAAAAATTCATTATAATATCACAATTCCTAACGTTTTCAAGAAAACCACGGAGCTCTAGGATCAGTTTCGTGAATTTTACACTTTCACGGATGTTCCGCATCTTCCGGAGGACGGTCTCATGGCCATCAAGGTCCATGTTTATGTCACGTTTTTTTTAAACTGTGGAGCTCTAGGATCAGTTTCATGGATTGACAACTTTTACGGATGTTCCGAATCTTCCGGAGAACGGTCCCATGGACATCGAGGTCCATGTTTATGTCACAACCCCAATTTTTTTCTATCATCACATTTCCTAATGTTCCTAAGTAAGCAATTTGGATCCCGCTTCTGGGGATGATGCAGAACGAGAATCGACAGCATAGTTATGTTAGGCAGAAGCCTTGATGGAGACGGGTGATTGAATTTCCGTTGCTGGTTGAAAGTATCGTAACGGCGGTGGATCTGCAGGAGTATGCTGATATTTCATATCAGGATCGTGGATTTACCACTTTTACGGATGTTCCGGATCTTCCGCTGGACGGATGGCCATCTGGGTCCATGACCCAAATTCATTCTTATATCACAGATCCTAATGTTAAAAAAACGCGGAGCTCTAGGATCAGTTTCATGTATTGTCCACTTTTACGAATGTTTCGGATCTTCCGGAGGACGGTTCCATGGCCATACGGGTACATGTTTTTGTCACGACCCCAAATATTTTATTCTGTGTTCTGGCTAATTGTGAACATTTGTGCCCATTAGTCTAAATTACAAATCTTGCGCCACTTGCAAAACCCTACAAATACACCTTGTAACAACTCTTTTCGCTTTTTAAAAAAGTAGACGACTCTATTTTCAATCTCTTACAATCAAAATCATCTACAAACCCTAGGAATTCTAAAGGTACCACAATTTTTTAAATTCATTAAGAAAGGGCTAAGATATGCCATTGCAAACTTGCCGTTACACGTTTTTCGGAGGCATCGTATTCGGAGTGCTAAAAAATTGGGATTTTGCATTGAAAAACATTGATTGTATTTGTTTTTATTTTTATGGTTTTCATGGTTTGTACAGGGTGCGTGACGAATTTTTGCAGTAAATGGTATATTTGAGAAAAAATACACCAGTTAGTTATTCTAGCAATGAATTTTGTGCGATTTATTTTCTTTCGCAACATATGGAAGTTGTAAGTAAATTTATTCAAAACAATTGCCTTCCCTTTCGACGACTGTAGTTAGACGCTTACGGAAACTGCAGTATGCACGTTTTAAAATGTTTCGATCCATAGATGTCATCACTGCCTTGATTTTAGCTTTTAGCGACTTAAGTGTGGTGTGAGGGGTTCTATTGGTATCCCGTTGGACGACGCCCTATACAAAATAATCCAACGGATTGATATCGGGACTGCTTGGGGGCCAAATTTCTTCCTCCCAAATTTACAAAATATTTTCCGTAAGCCATTTCTGTGCTTTATTAGCAGTATGAGCAGGTGCTCCGTCTTATCACTTTCCCAAGCCTTTTTTAATATTATACACTGTTCTTTAAGACACATTTACCGACCGAATTATTTCTTTCATGCATACTCCGGCGTGCAACAAAGTGACAACGGCTGACAGATTGCTCTCTTGTTTCGACATCTTTACGTTTACTCAACATTGTTTGTTTAAATCTTACACCTAACAGTATAAGCTATCCAGTGCTGCCAAATATATCTAAATCATGATGCACAAGCATGAGAAATTACTACACTGGAGTCGCTTTTTACGCGGGTGATACGTCCCGCGTAAAAAAAAACCGCGTAAAAAAAACCGCGTAAATTCCGGAATCCGCGTAAAAAAAACCGCGTAAATTCCGAAATCCGCGTAAAAAAAAACCGAGTAAAAAAAGACCGTGTAAGAAAAAAACGCGTAAAAAGCGATATACCGCGTAAATTCTGAAATCCGCGTAAAAAAAATCCAAAATCCGCGTAAAAAAAACCGCGTAAATTCCGGAATCCGCGTAAAAAAAAACCGCGTAAATTCCGAAATCCGCGTAAAAAAAAAACCGCGTAAAAAAACACCGTGTAAAAAAAAACCGCGTAAAAAGCGACTCCAGTGTATTTGAAATTTACTGCAAAAATTCGTCACGCACCCTGTAGACAGAGGGCGTAATATGTTTTTATATTTTTCCTTCAAAATTTAGGCTTTTTATACAACATTTAAAAAAAAATCAGCGATGTATTTTTTTCGTTTTTGAGTTATATTTTTATGAAGCTATCAAGTTTTGGGAATCCTGATGAATGTGGGCGTCTTAGTGGAATACCTGTATAAAGAGAGAGAAGGATTAGTTATTTCCATTTAAATCTACTACCTTATTTACTTATCCTTGACAGATACGCGTATTTCGTCTACAATGTGTTTGGGATTTCGCTCAATACTCCTATGCGACTTTTGCTTCAATTAGACAAGACAAATAATGGAAGTATATTCATCCTGATGGTGGTCTTCGATTTTCGGTAGCTTCAGAATAAGTCAAACCATATTTGCTTTTCTTAACGCATTTATTGTTTTTAATCATTCTAGCATTTCGTTACGCGAGCGCACAAACATAAATAGTTTTTTTTTTCACTGTAATAATAATATCAATCTCCGGTATCCTTCTTAACATGATCATCTACTAAAGTATGCTTTGTTGTAGCCACTGAATCTGATTTTTTTTTATTTAAAATATTCCATTCCAGTATAGTATGTATATATTCTCTTATGTGTTACGTAGAACGCAGGATGTCCTCACTCAAAGCAATAAAAAATAATAACAGCAATATTAATAATTGATACGCAATGCATGTACTCTCCGCGTGCGATCCAATTCGGCGACACAGATGTAATTGATTTTTTTTTCTGCTCTACACATGGATTCTGCAGTGAGACTAAATATTTTGAATATTTGAATACAAATGTGGAAAATAATAACTATGAAAAAATCTTCCCCTTTATTTCCTGTTTTTTGTTCTTCTGCTGGGCTATCGTAAAGAGATAGAGGGATCGAGAAGTGGACCAATTGAACTTTTTGCCTGTATGATTGTTTTTGTGCTCGAATTAAGCAATCGCTAGCATTTAGTATTCTATTATTTGTGCCACATTGTGATCAGACGAACCTATAGACTGAAAAAAAAAACAATTTGGAAAATTCATCAATATTCGAGAGGTTTTGGTGGTCTTTTTTTCATTGCCACATCTGATCAACGAGGTTGGCTTCGGTTTGACTGCGTTTGATGGGATGCAAAACAAAAATCGAACGCAGAGTGACCATATCCTAGGTATAATGCAAATGAAATTTTAAAATATTTCATAATCCCTTTGGTGACACAAAACGTCGCTCGCCCGATCGGCCATGCATGGCTGGCTGAGTAGAGATAACTTGTGTCTCTTTTACAAGCATCATCCCATTGGTTGTGTCGAGTGGCAACGCTGTGTGATTATTTATTGGATCGTAGTAGGCCGGATTTTTTTCTACCATGTTGAGCGGCCGATGAACAGGATAGATATGTTATTTTCAATTAATGGTTTGTTGATTTTGAAAGGCTGTACCCATAGTCATTCATTTGCGGGTCGTTGCGATAAAATGTTAATTAATTACTGCTTTGTTTCTACTCATAAATATTATCTGAGGTGGCGTAGGTGAGTGATCACAATTTGTGCCACGCTCAACTGAAACAGGACAAAAACGGATGTGAGTAAATTTATATAGAGCTTCCTGGAGTCGGTATTGTCAATGAAAAATAATTAACAACCCAGAATTCCCTGTAATATACTTCCGATTTGTAATTACAAATGATAGGTCGATCGATGTCGTATGTTTTTCCTTTCAACCGATTCTCCGGAAATTTAATATGAAAAGTATCGTAATGCGATGAATTATTAAATGTGAGGAAAACCTCATGAAAAATGTGTTCTTTCACAAAACGTTCCGACCCTCGTTTTCAAGTGGATGTTAAATAAATGAATGTTTAAAATAATTATTTTTTGTCACCCGCATGCTGGTTTTTATCAGAGGCTTGACATTTCCGAGCTGCCCCGTTTGGAATCCTTTTGTTGCGCCCTGAATGGCAGTAGGCGACTGGCCTCGTGTCACTTTTGCTCTTTTGACAGCCCCAGCTGCGAATTGGCAGGGCGCGTGTGGTGTGAAATTTAACCCGGATTTTTTTTTCTGTCTCATCTCCATCGCTATCCGACTTGTCCGAAGGTCCCCCCGCGAAAATATCGGGCTATTTATGAATAAATAAATGAAATATAACCCTCATTGTTTTATTTTTTCCCTATCTTGGATGGATCGCGTAAAAAGCCACAGGGTTGTAGACTGGCCTTCTCCTTATTATTGAATAGCGATGTTGATTTTGTCCTGCAGGCGAGAAGTGCGGTCTACGACCCTGTTGTTCGTTCTGTCCTCACTCCCCTATCTCCATCGGCCCGTTTTAATATTTATCACTAAAAACTCATTATCAATTGAACATTTGATTAATAATTGCTTTTAACACTTGTGCTTCGCATTTAACAACTTTTTTTTTTATCTGTGTTACCCTGCCCTGTTCCTGTTTCCTGTTTCGTTCCAATAGTTTAGCATAATACAATTGCGGTTAAGCTTTAATTTTTTTCTGCTGCTGACCTCTATTAGTATAATTAAAAAGTAATTAAGCGTTAGATGTAGATGTATACTGAAATCGAGAGAAACGAACAATTAATAATAACATTGGTAAAACTGTTTTCTTCATCGATTGTTTGTTTTATCAGAAACAGAAGCTATTGAACCGATAAGCCAATAAGAATTAGTTACAAATCATGTTCTTTTTTCTTAACTAGTAAACATTTAGTAATTATAAAATTTGTATCAATCCTAAGCTGTTTAGTTTCGTGTATATTGCGTGTTTCGTTATAAAAGTATGAAAAATAATATGTTAAGTAAGTTCAAATTACATCGTATTACTGTTTGTGCTTGTGTGTCACAACTCATATGTTTGATTGGTAACTGAGTACAAGAACTGTAAGGTTAACTGGAGAACTCCTTCCGCCTAGTTGTTAGGTAAGTGTGTTGATTCTGTTGCCAAAAGTGTCTTGAAGTGTAGTTGTTTGGTGTTGGTGAAAGTATCATTTTTAAAATTCTATCTAACATTAGCAGGTCGACACGTTCTAGTTTATTCTATTATCATTAGGTTTTGTGTTGTGTGTTTTGCTGTAATTCCATAAGTGTTGTTCTAGTTGGTCTAGTAGCGTATGTGCGTGTGTTGATCGTGTAGTGGTTGGTGTGTGGCTGCAGTTTTACGAATGGTGTTGAGTGCCGGGTGGTGCCCGATAGCCAGGGTAGGTTGCGTTGATGGCATTTTTTGCGAAGAAATTGGAGTAATCCTGCAATGAGAAACGGAAACGAAAAAAGACAAACAAATAAAGGGTTAATGACAGACAACATTGATTGGTGTATTATTTCTTGTGTGTAGTTTATAGTGGTACACAGTCCGGCTATTCATGTAAAACATAATAACATAATCAATGCTTGACGAAGGGCACACCTTTTTCAAAACTTTTACAAGAAGACTTTTTGAAATAGTTTTGCAGTTCTTTATGACTTCTATGTAAAAATCCTCATACCAAAATTTTTGAAAATCTCATGAGCAAAAACCGTTTAGTACTGTTTTACAAAATAAATTAAACACCAATTTTACAGTTGTATGAATTTTCTAAGGTAAAAATCACTGGTTGCATCTTCCTATGGAAGGGACAAGTAACCCAACAAACAATTTTAGCTGCAGACTAGCTTATTCAGGCAAAAATAAGCTTTATAAGCCAATTGTTGGCTGTATAAACTAATCTGCAACTAACATTGTTAGTCGGGAAAGCCATTGTTCTCGACCCATGTGCTGCTGGGTTCTATATCTAGGGGCCTTGGTGGTGGAACAGATACAGACAAAAAATAAGGTAGAATTAGATAATATATCTGCATGGACTGAACTACCCACCGCGTTCATCGGGGATACTTATATTCCCATCAGAGGTTGATAAAGTCCGTGAACGGTTATTTTATACATACTTTAGCTATTTGTTTGTATTACTTCTGCGTGAAGTTAGTGATTTACATAGTTGAAGATGCTAATTTTATATAACAGACTAAAGTGGTAATTTTTATACGATAGATGAGGAGATGAAAGTATAGAGTTGATAGTTCTGTTAGAGTACGGCAGTGTGAAAATTGTTTTCTTTTTGCCAGTGGTGGCGGGAGGGATACCCCTCACCATCCCTCTCCAACGGGGGAGTTTGGTAAAGAGAGATGATCTAACCGATTTGTACCTTCCTAAAAAGTTGTCCTTGCTCACTTTCTATTCTCTAAATACAATTTTCACACTGCCGTACTCAAACGGAACTATCAACTCTATACTTTCATGTCCTCATCTATCGTATAAAATAACCACTTTAGTCTGTTATTTGGTGACTTCAATCTCCCGGGGATTTGGGTTTGGTGACTTCAATATCCCGGGGATTTCATGGAAAAAAACTCGCAACGGCTTCCTCTATCCTTACATGGATCACTCTGTCATCCATTCCTACGCTTCGCTCATTCTGGACAATTACAGCTCAGCCACTCTTTCTCAAATCAACCATGTTATTAACCAGAACAACCGCAGTTTGGATCTTTGTTTTGTAAGCGCCCAGGACATGGCTCCTTTCTTATGCGAGGCGCCCACTCCTCTGGTGAGACTGGATCGTCACCACCCGCCGCTACTGGTGACGTTAAGTACTAAGCTGATGCATGATTTTAATATTTCACCTGCCACCGTTTCCTACGATTTTTGCAACGCCGACCATGGTAGTATCGCCGAGTTACTCTCCAATTTAGATTGGGACGACTTATTGGATACCGTTGACATTGAGTCCGCCGCTCAAACTATTTCCAATGTCTTGGCATATATCATTGACAGACACGTTCCGAAAAAGATTCATCATCATACGACCCATCCAGCATGGCATACGAGCGAATTTCGTCGTCTGAAATCCAGAAAGAGAGTCGCTCTTAGGAAGTTCACCAAGCACTGCACACTATCCCTTCAACGTCACTATGTCAGGATCAATCACGCATACAAACGAGTTGCAAAACGGTGCTTTCTTCAGTATCGACGTGGATTGCAGAGAAAGCTTAAGTCACGTCCCAAGCAGTTTTGGAAGTTTGTCAACGAACAACGTCATGAAGCTGGTCTGCCGTCGTCTATGACACATAATGGTAACGTGGCCTCATCTACGCAAGATATCTGTCAGCTGTTCCTGAAAAATTTGCTAGTGTCTTCACGGACGAGAGACTGAGTGACGACCATGCCCGACTGGCTGCCAGTTACGTACCAGTCTCTGGCCAAACCATGAGCAGAATTGACATAAATCCCGAGATGTTTTTCAGGGCTTCCTCGAAACTCAAGTCGTCGTACAATCAGGGTCCTGACGGAATTCCATCGGCGTTCCTCAAAACGCACTTGGACAGTTTGTTGTCTCCACTGCTGCACGTTTTTCAACGGTCTGTGGACGTCGGAGTTTTCCCATCCTGTTGGAAGCTAGCGCACATGTTTCCAGTACATAAAAAAAGGCAACAAACAGGACGTTGGCAACTACCGTGGCATTACTTCGCTTAGCGCTGTTGCTAAATTGTTTGAACTCGTTGTTATGGAACCGTAGCTCGCTCACTGTAAGCCGTATATTAGTATCGACCAGCATGGTTTAATGGCTGGTCGCTCCACTGCCACTAACTTGCTGTGCCTCACTTCCTACATCTCTAACAGTATGTCGGATCGTGCTCAGACGGATGTCATTTATACTGACTTATCTGCTGCCTTCGATAAATTGAATCACCGCATATCAATCGCTAAACTGGACAGGCTTGGTATCCACAGCTGCCTTTTGCAATGGTTTCAGTCGTACCTCACCGATCGCTATCTTACTGTTGTCATTGGTGATCACCAGTCCCGTACGTTCGCTGCCACATCCGGCATACCCCAGGGTAGTCACCTGGGACCGCTGATTTTCCTGATTTATTTCAACGACGTGAATCTGGTAATTGAGGGACCACGATTATCTTACGCAGATGACCTTAAACTCTACCTCCGAATTCACTCAATTGAAGACTGTTGCTTCCTTCAACGTCAGCTGAATGCTTTTGCTGATTGGTGTATTCTGAATCGTATGGAGGTTAACCCGTCCAAATGCTCAGTTATCTCTTTTTCGCGCAAGAAAGAGACTATTATGTTCAAGTATGTTTTGTTAGGCACTGAAATTGAGCGCGTCAGCCAAAACTCTCTTTCAAGCAGCACATCTCGCACGCCGTCGACAAAGCTTCCAGAATTCTAGGGTTTTCTTCAGGATTGCCTTTCACGGATATCTACTGCCTTAAATCGTTGTACTGCTCCTTGTCTCGCTCCATATTAGAATACTGCTCGGTTGTCTGGACTCCTCACTACAACAACGGTGTCGAAAGAGTTGAGTCTGTTCAGCGACGGTTCCTGAGATATGCGCTACGTAAACTGCCGTGGACGGATCCGTTCCGATTGCCTAGCTACGAAAGTCGTTTGCAACTGATCCATCTGGAGCGCCTGTCGGTCCGAAGGGATACAGCAAGGGTATTGCTAATTGTGGATATTTTGCAAGGACGCACCGATTGCTCTGTCCTCCTTGAGCAAATTGACATCAATGTTCAACCCCGAGCCCTACGGAATAATTCAATGCTGCGCCTGCCCATGCAGCGAACTAATTATAGCATGTTCGGTGCAATCGGTGGTTTACAGAGACTCTTCAATAGGGTCTCCGCACTGTTTAATTTTGACCTAACTCGCCAGCTGCTTCGCCCGAGGTTTAGTTCGTTTTTTTCTAGATCAGTTTAGTTTGTTTAGTAATGTTCCTTTTTTTACGAGATGACTATCTATGTACTTATTGGTGTTTTGTTTTAGTACTTTTCATGTTTAGTTTAAGTTACATCATTGGGGCAAATAACGCCTGCTGATGTTCAGTCATAGAAATAAATAAATAAGCAAATAAGGTAGTATAATTAAATAGAAATTTTCAATCCTTTTCTATTTCTTCATACAGATATTCCACTAAGTCACCCACATGCATCAGCAAATAGATGCGAATTTTCATCGTAAAACTGATGTAATATGATGCAAGATAAAACAACACACACCATAGTTTCAAAATTTGATTTTTCTACTGTGAACATCACTCTTTAATTTAAATTGTGAAGAATAATTGAATTCTGATAAAACTGAACATGTACTTAAATAAGTTGATGCCGATTTGGAACACAAGACGGTGATATCAAATGCAGATACCTCTCAATTGCTAAATTGATTAGAAACGGGAACACTTGCAGATTATAGTCGCTATGTTTATAGTATGGTGGATAGAAATTCGATGTATCGAAAAGCGGAACCAATTCAACATATTGTAGACCAACAATTGAAAAGATAATATCAACTGTTATAAACAAAATTGTGATAGTTCTTTCTTCGCCAACCGAATGCAAATGAACAGCATCATTCCAATCCGATGATGCTGTTGTTTTGCGTAGGCGAGCCTTGAGTCACAAGAAAAGAATTTCCGAATATTTGTTTGCAAAAGCTGATGTGCTCTTTTGTAGGTCGTGATATGCTCGATTGGTTCCGCTGTTTGACAGCTCAATTGGTTCCCGGAATTCTTTCCACCAGACTATAAAAATAGCGACTATATTGCAGATGCCGGCAATCGTTGTCCAGCGAAATTTTAAAATCCACGATGGTAACATCCGGTTTCCTAAATATTCCCAATATAGTTATTTTGGAATGGGGAAACGAAGAAACATAAGTGTAAGCAGTTTATTATTGGTATAAAACAACGTTACACACTACTAAAAAGTCATGTAAATTTCGGTTCCCTGAGACCGACACATGTAAGCGAGCCTTTTGACATAAGAATCAGTTGAAAGAAACGTAAAAATCAATTCAATCAAACGTTCTCTTCGTCAACTAGCTGATGTTTCGGTTTAAAAAAACTTAATTTTACATGAAATGTTTGTTTACGTTCTATGATTTACGTCCAATATGGATTACGTCTCGTGTAAAAGTAGTTATTTCTAAGTGTGTATGTTTAAATAGGAATGGTTAAGGAATCACAGTACATCTTCGAAACATTAATTAATTAATTTAGCTTTATTTAGGAGGCTTTCAGCCTTAGGCTGGTTCGCCTCCGAGAAATATCTTCGAAACAGCGAGACTCAACGGATACAAGGAAACCGCAATCCAGGCAATCATAGATAAAAAAAGAGAATTCTACAAAGGATATTATTTACAACCCTCATCGCAGCACCTGAACCCTTGAAACGAGTTTTCGTTCCATTTGAT